TTCCCTTAGGCATCATGCGCCGTGGCAGCGAGTCAAAGGATTCTCGAGTATAAATATGCATCTATAATGCACGTAGGCTTGATTTTGTTTTGTTGTGGCTTATTTCCGTTGTGTTGTGGCTTGATTTAGTTTTGTTGTGGCTTGATTTAGTTTTGTTGTGGCTTGATTTAGTTTTGTTGTGGCTTATTTCCATTGTTTTGTGGCTTTATTTCGTTTTGCTGTGGCTTGTTTTTGTTGTGTTTTGGCTTGATTTAATTTTGTTGTGTTGTGGTTTGATTTAGTTTTGTTGTAGCTTGATTTAGTTTTGTTGTGGCTTGATTTTGTTGTGTTGTGGTTTGATTTAGTTTTGTTGTGGCTTGATTTCGTTTTGTTGTGGCTTGATTTCGTTTTGTTGTGGCTTGATTTCGTTTTGTTGTGGCTTGATTTTGTTGTGTTGTGGCTTGATTTAGTTTTGTTGTGGCTTATTTCCATTGTTTTGTGGCTTTATTTCGTTTTGTTGTGGCTTGATTTAGTTTTGTTGTAGCTTGATTTCGTTTTGTTGTGGCTTGATTTAGTTTTGTTGTAGCTTGATTTCGTTTTGTTGTGGCTTGATTTTGTTGTGTTGTGGTTTGATTTAGTTTTGTTGTGGCTTGATTTCGTTTTGTTGTGGCTTGATTTTGTTGTGTTGTGGTTTGATTTAGTTTTGTTGTGGCATGATTTCGTTTTGTTGTGGCTTATATCCGTTGTGTTATAGGTATTTTAAAGCTGCAGTAGGGAGTTTTGAGAAAACGTCGACTTAGCCTGAAAATTTTAACAAGCACAACTTACAGGTCCCCACCCCCTTGCTCTCTGCTGCGCTACAGCCCTCCCTCCACAGCTCGTCCTCCACAGCGGAGCCCGTCGTGAACGCGCAGGCTAGTAAACAGGGCCACCGATAACAGCGGATAAAAAGTTATATGGCACATTCACTAATAGGGACTAAACGTCAACAATATGCTTTACATTGACTATGGCCTGCCCATACTTTGACTACAAACTTGGTCCTCAAATCATTATGTATTTTGCAATACATGTAATTTTATAACGTTGCACTCTTTCTATAAGTTATAAATCACTAGTAAGATAACGTTAATATAACGGTAACTAACGTTACAGTATGTAAGTAATTATTCTAGCGATATATAATGCTAGATAAGGTGTGCTAGCCCATTATTTCAGCAACATGGCAAGCCAGCGAATTAGCAGGTTTCAATTGTTGCTTAGCAGAGTGCGTGACATTTTATCTACATGTTATGCGGCTAGAGTTTTGACACCGAGTCAATGGGCTCTGTGTAATTCTTTCTTTTTCGCTTGTTTATCGTCATTGGTCTTTTTCCTTTTACCTCTTTGTTTTATGAGCAGGTGTCACTCGAGAATTGGCAGGTTAGGTTGTTTCTCCGTCATAAGCACAGCTGCAGCACGCCGGCAATCTTGAGTTTGAACGACGGTACGCCGCGCGCTGTGCAAGAGAGGGGTGTGATCAGCGCGTACACGAGCGTGATTGACACTGCTAAGACATTCCTCCTGGCTCTGATTGGTTGTTTCTGACCGGGAGCGTGTATTTCTGCAAATGGCAATAGGACCACTGGGAGGAGCCAGAGGAGCTTGATTTTTTAACAGATTATCTGTCTCATATTCTACTGTCAGGACATAATGACAGTTTTAACAAATATGTAAAAAATATTTTTTACAAAAGTTACCTACAGCAGCTTTAATAGTCAAATATAATAGTTGGACATTGTAATGGACCACTGATGTTACAAAAGTAGTGACATGCACACAAATTCGATAACCATTTCATAATTATATACATTGCATTAGGAAAGTATTCCAAAATTTGCTGGAATGTTTACATTATTTTTTTACCCTTATCAATCTACATTCAATATCTCAAAAAGACCTAATTAACGATGAGGTCCATTGTTGGTGTGTAAATAATGCAGGTCCTGCATGAAGCTGTTTTACATTCATATCAACACTGCACACATCCACAACATCTACTCTCTCTATGATATAGGGACACATTTGCTTAGATAAAAAGAAAGTGCCATGTGCCCCTTCCTTCTGCGTCTCGTCATACACACTCAGATACACACAGCATCTGCTCTAGTTTTATCACAGCCTGTGGCGATGGCAGATCTTCATCAAGGTGAGCGGCTGACTTTGGCCCTCTCACTCCGGTCACTGTTATTTCCTTCACCGCTCGCCACACTTAAAGTCTTCTCATTACCAGGAAAGAGTAGAGCAACAGTCCCACAAATCAAACCAAGCTGTTTTTATCAGGGCAGAAAGGAAGGAGTAGATTCTGGAAGGTGTTGTTTCAACCTCAATACTGAGACAAAGCTGGGCTGTATATATTGTAGAATGGAGGATTACTGTTGTATGTGAAACCCTGGAAACAAGGCTATAAAGAGGTAGGGATGAACGATATTTCGGCCACCATATCGGTATTGGCCGATGAATGGTAATTTTTAACGTTAACGTTATCAAGCCGATAAATTAAAGTCGATGAATAATGGATTATTTCCTTCAGCTGAGAAACTTCAGATGCGCTCTGTTCGCCATGATGGTTTTGAATTGCTTAAAGGGATAGTTCACCCAAAAATGAAAAATACCCCATGATTTACTAGGTGTGTATGACTTTCTTCTTTCAGACGAACACAATCAGAGTTATATTAAAAACTGTCCTGGCTCTTCCAAACTTTATAATGGCAGTGAATGGCCGTGTCTGTTTTAAGTCCATAAAAGCGCATCCATCTATGATAATAGTTCTCCACACGGCTCTAGGGGTAATAAAGGCCTTCTGAAGCGAAGAGATGCGTTCGTGTAAGAAAAATATCCATATTTAAAACTTTATCGATTGAGAAGCAGTCGATTTACGGCGAAAGAGTAACACTTGACCTGACGCACAACGTAATGATGAACGCGGAAGCGCAGAGGATCACGAATTAGAAGTCTAAAACGACAATTTTTAAAGAAATGTGGGAGGAGCTTGCGTGTGTTGCCCAGCCCTGTTTGTTAAAGCTTACGCTACTCCTACATCGTCAAGTGTTACTCTTTTGGCGTAAGTCGACTTGCGTAGGCCGTCTGCCGGAAGCTAGTTATTTTAGTTGATAGTTATAAATATGGATATTTTTCTTACACAAACGCATCGCTTCACTTCAGAAGGTCTTTATTAACCCCCCGGAGCTGTGTGGGGCACTTTTATGATGGATAGATGCACTTTTATCATGGATGGATGTACTTTTATGATGGATAGATGCACTTTAATGATGGATAGATGTACTTTTAAGATGGATAGATGCACTTTTATCATGGATGGATGTACTTTTATGATGGATAGATACACTTTTATGATGGATAGATGCACTTTTATCATGGATGGGTGTACTTTTATGATGGATAGATGCACTTTTATGATGGATAGATGCACTTTGATCATGGATGGATGTACTTTTATGATGGATAGATGCACTTTTATGATGGATAGATGTACTTTTATCATGGATAGATGCACTTTTATCATGGATAGATGCACTTTTATCATCATGGATAGATGCACTGTGATGGTATTCAAAACATAAACGGCCATTCACTGCCATTATAAAGCTCGGAAAAGCCAGGACATTTTTTAACACAACTCCAATTGTATTCGTCTGAAAGAAAAATGTCATATACACCTAGGATGGCTTAAGGGTGAGTAAATCATGGGGTATTTTTCTTTTTTGAGTGAAATATGATTGTAATCATTTCGAAAAGGAAGATAAGTTAAGTGCAACATGTGCAGCGCAAGCTTGTCATATAGGCTACATAAACTTAAAATGAGAACACGACTGTAAAATAATGTTGTGAATTCTTGCGTGCCGTGTTTCAGTGCATTGTTGTCGAAAGAGCCCGTCCGCAGAGTTAAGCCCAATTTATACTTCTGCGTCGAACTCACGCCGTAGCTACGTCGTAGACTGTGTGTAGCACGCGTACCCTGACGTGCACCTCTCCAAAAATGTAACAGCGCGTCAATTCTACGCGGACGCAAGCGCTGTGATTGATCTACTAGAACCACTGCCCGGGTTTCACATGCTCCCTCTACATGCGTAATTGTGCGTCAACGCGGACAACGACGCAGAAGTATTAATGAAAACCAACGCAAAAGTCTATAGCGAAGAGCCTCCGGCGTAGGTCCGACGCAGAAGTATAAATCAGCCTTTACACTCCTGTGCTGTCAACATTTTCTGAGAAATAAATTTGCTAAAAAAAATTGTGTTCCGGCTTAATGGCCATGGGGAAAATGTGGGTCCCATGGCCAAACCAGTTATAACCACTGTTATAGCACATGCTTTGCCATTGACTAGTTGTTTCGTCTTTGAGGGTTCTTTAAAGCGTGAACATGATTTGTGCTTATCACATCACAGCTCAGGATTGTTACAAATAGCTAGAATAGGGTTGGGACTGTGCATGTTGTTGTGGGGCCATCAGCCAATCGGTGTCAGTGCATCATTCCCCTGCGGCTCCAGAATAATGGGTCACGTGGCACAGGTGACTGCCTCAAAAAAATATAATAATTTAATAATAATAATAATGAAATCTGTATAGTGCCCCTGGGCCAAGACGAAATCATGAGTGTCACATACTGTACTTCCAGTCCACCCAGTGCCATTGAGATGAATGGTAATGCTAACAGATAGCTATCCAGCTATTATAGACCTTCCAGATATCAAGAGATATTGATTCTATGATGTTAACATACTCAGCAGTATGTACAGTACTTTCCCATCACAAGCAAATGCAAATTGGGATGCCATTAGCGTGAGACCATCAATCTCAGGAAAGTCTCTGGAAGCATCCCTTTAACCACTTTTATTTAAAGCAAATGTAGTTTTGATTATGGTTTCATTTCCTTATATTTGATTTAAATGAATTAAATTTCTTGTAGTCCACTGAAATATAGTACGTGGTTTTGTTTAGTGTTTATCTCTTCTTTGCAGGTCACGCTCACCTGACAGATTTTAACATAGCTGCTATTGTGAAGGAAGACTTAAAAGCCACATCTATTGCAGGGACAAAACCATACATGGGTGAGAGCTTTCATACTTCTCTTTAACACTCCACGACTTCTAGTCAGGCTTTATTTGTGTGGTTAAACAACTTCAGTCAAAGGTTCCTTGTTTTACTCTTCATTGACAAATTGTTAAATGTTATAGGAAAGTAGTTTTCACAGTTTTTGATCAGATGAAGTGTTCTTTCTTTCTTCTGTTAATAAAGTTTATGAAATTCACAGTGAATCCTAGACTGACATTAAAAGCCTTTTATAACAGAATTAAAAGCTATGGTTAAAATATGGTTTAAGTGTGCTGCCGAATGTGCTTACAAGCATTTATGGTAAACTAAAATAGATGCTAATGCTATCATGTACAAACAAAAAAATAAGGATTTTGGTCAAATAGAGGAACTTAAAGCTCCACAGTACCAGGCTTTAGTATGCTTTATACTATTTTGATACCATTTTTGGTAACACTTTACTTGAAGGGGTGTGCATAAGACTGACATGACACCTTCATAATCATGACATGCATAACTAATCTGCTATGTCATGTTTATGACATATTTATGACAGGTTGTGTTGTCTTAGTAATGTCAAGTTGTCATGACAAAGACACTGACAGGTTATGATGGATGTATTGGTTTATGTCAAGTTGTCATTACCAAGACATCTCAAACAATGTCATATTTGCATTACAAATGTCATAATTGAGTGAATGACACTTAATGACAGTTGTCATAAACATGCATAAAACCTCCTTCATATTCATGATATGTGTCATGTCATGATTATGACAGTGTCATGTCAGTCTTATGCACACCCCTTCAAGTAAAGCGTTACCCATTTTTTTCATCACCAAATTACCATGGTATCACTGTGTAGCTACTCTCAGAACATAATTTCAGTAATAAAGATTTGGTAGATAAAACTTAAGCTATCAAAGCTATAAATTCTCTGTAATGTCAATGAAACCTGCTGTATCATTTGAAAATGCTGAAACAAGTTCTGTACAAACAACAGTTCTTCATTATACTGTCATATAATCTTTGCTGTTGTGTGTTCTGTTGTTGCAGCCCCAGAACTGTTCCAGTCGTTCGAGGGAACGCACCCAGGTTACTCTTTCTCAGTGGACTGGTGGTCTTTAGGGATTACTGCATATGAGCTTCTCCGTGGACAGGTGAGGGACCCTCAACCATTTGATCTGAGATCAGTATTAGGACAAGACGGTAACACTTTACAATACTGGTCTTTCATTAATGAATAACTACACAGGAACAAATACTGTATGTAACGCACTATTAACATTCTAGTAACTAACAAGAAACTCTGATTAACAGATTAGTAAGTAATAGCGCTCAGTCGAATGTGTAGTTCACTATTAGCTAATCAATAACTACTATTTTTCATACCTCACTGAAGACTGTAAGAACTACTATATACAGGTTCATAATTGATATTAATAATGCATAATGTACACTCACCTAAAGGATTATTAGGAACACCATACTAATACTGTGTTTGACCCCCTTTCGCCTTCATAACTGCCTTAATTCTACGTGGTATTGATTCAACAAGGTGCTGAAAGCATTCTTTAGAAATGTTGGCCCAGATTGATAGGATAGCATCTTGCAGTTGATGGAGATTTGTGGGATGCACATCCAGGGCACAAAGCTCCCGTTCCACCACATCCCAAAGATGCTCTATTGGGTTGAGATCTGGTGACTGTGGGGGCCATTTTAGTACAGTGAACTCATTGTCATGTTCAAAAAAACAATTTGAAATGATTCGAGCTTTGTGACATGGTGCATTATCCTGCTGGAAGTAGCCATCAGAGGATGGGTACATGGTGGCCATAAAGGGATGGACATGGTCAGAAACAATGCTCAGGTAGGCCGTGGCATTTAAACGATGCCCAATTGGCACTAAGGGGCCTAAAGTGTGCCTAAAGTGTGCCAAGAAAACATCCCCCACACCATTACACCACCACCACCAGCCTGCACAGTGGTAACAAGGCATGATGGTTCCATGTTCTCATTCTGTTTACACCAAATTCTGACTCTAACATCTGAATGTCTCAACAGAAATCGAGACTCATCAGACCAGGCAACATTTTTCCAGTCTTCAACTGTCCAATTTTGGTGAGCTCTTGCAAATTGTAGGCTTTTTTTCCTATTTGTAGTGGAGATGAGTGGTACCCGGTGGGGTCTTCTGCTGTTGTAGCCCATCCGCATCAAGGTTGTGCGTGTTGTGGCTTCACAAATGCTTTGCTGCATACCTCGGTTGTAACGAGTGGTTATTTCAGTCAAAGTTGCTCTTCTATCAGCTTGAATCAGTCGGCCCATTCTCCTCTGACCTCTAGCATCAACAAGGCATTTTCGCCCACAGGACTGCCGCATACTGGATGTTTTTCCCTTTTCACACCATTCTTTGTAAACCCTAGAAATGGTTGTGCGTGAAAATCCCAGTAACTGAGCAGATTGTGAAATACTCAGACTTGCCCGTCTGGCACCAACAACCATGCCACGCTCACAATTGCTTAAATCACCTTTCTTTCCCATTCTGACATTCAGTTTGGAGTTCAGGAGATTGTCTTGACCAGGACCACACCCCTAAATGCATTGAAGCAACTGCCATGTGATTGGTTGATTAGATAATTGCATTAATGAGAAATTGAACAGGCGTTCCTAATAATCCTTTAGGTGAGTGTATAATATAAGGTAATGATAACACATGAGTTTTCTTAAATGAAGATCATGGGAACACACTAGTAATGACTCAAGTGTTACCAAATCCATCAGAAGGAATTACTATTAAAAATCTCAAAAGCTTACAATGACTTCAGTCAATATTAGGTAGTTATCATGTTTTTCACTTTAGAATACTGATAAAAATAATTAGTAGTTCCTTTAGAAGGATGTAGTAACACTTGAGTCATTACTAGTGGGTTACCGGTACCTTTTATTATAAATTATGCATTATTCATGTTAATTGTTAACCTGTATATAGTAGTTCTCTGGTAGACATGAGAAAAATAGTAGTTATTGATTAGCTAATAGTGAACTACCCATTCGACTGAGCGCTATTACTTACTAATTTGTTAATCAGAGTTTCTTGTTAGTTACTATAGTGCGTTACTCATTTGTTCCTGTGTAGTTGTTCATTAATGAAGGAACAGTATTCTTAAGTGTTACCGACAAGACTCATCATGTGCTGCTGAGAATCAGCTGGCAAGAAAACGTAGACGTTTCATTGACTGTTGCATCATGGCTGGTTTCACCCTGGTTCTCTCTTTAGAGGCCGTACATCATGCGCACTAACACACCAGCCAATGAGATCCTGCAAACTTTCCACAAAGCGCACCCCTGTTACCCTGCGGCCTGGTCTTCAGGGATCAAGTCTCTCCTACAAATGGTAGCATTAATCACACCGTAGCCATACTTTATTCTTTCATCATTTGCATTTATTTTTTAGGATCAATTAAGAAATATACGATTCCGAAAGAAAGCGTTTGCGTCTGTTGTCAGCTGTTGTGTGTAGATGCTCAGAAGAGGATGTCCTGTCTCTCGGAGCTCCAGGACTTGGAATACCTCTCTGATGTCAATTGGGATGCTGTGCTCAGCAAACAAATCCCACCTGGCTTCCTCCCTAATGTAAGTACACACACACACACACACTGCAAATAAAGAGACATGCACATGTAGACATTCCAGATTTGAATGATTTGAACTTTACACTTTGCCAAAATTGTGCAGATTTATGATAATTGGTCTTAACTGAGAGGATTTGATGCAGTGAATCTTGTTGACCCCTACAAAAAAACACACAAAAATTTTTATTTTATTTTATAAGGCTCGTTTGATGAGGTTATTTTTTGCAAATGTCTTTTTGGAACAACAGTTCAGCATGGTTACCGTGATTGCTTTACCTTCGAAGTGTCCTGCGTAAGCAATATTTATGCTGTTTGGAATGCACTGTAAAAATGCTGAATTACAAAACTGGCTCAACACAAGTGAAGTGAATCCTAGGAAAGCTCTGGCACTATTACAGGCAGCCTCTCGCTTCAATATTTTGCAATGTCTATCTGTGCGTTTCTAATGTGATGACATTCACAATGTGATGATGAGATTTGAAGTACGCTATAAGTGCACATTCAATACAATTAAGTGCCCTTCTCTTTGAAATAGTAATGCTTGCCAAAAGATTTTGATTTGTTCGTGGGCACATTGTGTATAAATGAGTATTTGTTTGATGGCAGAGGAGACGACTAAACTGTGACCCCACGTTTGAGCTGGAGGAGATGATCCTGGAATCCAAACCGCTGCATAAGAAGAAGAAGAGGCTGGCGAGGAAGACGAGGGAGAACGGCTCTGATGGATCTCCTCAGGTAGCATCTCTCTCTTCATCTTCTCTTCCTCGTATTACAGTTATTACTTCAGAACATGACAATGATCTCACTACAGTTTTTGGTAGGAAAACCCAGCTTGTTCACTCTGTCACTATGGAAGAACTTGCATAACTGCAAAAAGACATAAAACAATTAAAGTCTTGTTTATGGCATTAACATATTACCTTCACATTTTTCTGCAGTGACTGTTCTTTGTTTGTCAGCATGAGTCAGTTCTCTGATGGATTTATGCAGTGGGAATTAAGAATCGTTGACATTTAGAAACGTTTTCTAATGATAAGTTTTGCAGCTCTGATTTAGTTCCTCTTTATTTTAAAGAGGCCGTGTTACAGTGTAATTATACATTTAAGTACTTATGTACTTACTATAGGGTTATGGCCCCGATTTCGAAGAACGAACTGGTGTGACATCATTTCGAACAAAATCATGCCAAAATAAAGTTCACTGGGAGTTCGAAACATCTTGCCAAAGCGAACTTTCCGGAAACGTTGCCATTGGTCGATTACGTAATAGGTAGGCTCCGCCTTCTTTTTTAGGTTCAGGTTTAGGTTCAGGATTAGAGTAGGGTTAAGGTTAGTTGCATGTAATTATGCACAATTTATAGTAATTGTAAAATGACAAAAAGTAAAATTGCTACATGTAACATGTAACAATGGCACTGTAAAATAAAGTGCTACAAGTTACTCACTAAAGCATATATAAAGTACTTGACCTGTAGTGTGTGATTCAAAATTACATTTAAAGTTAATATATTTTAAATGTACTAAATTGCAACAAAATTACATTAAAGTAGATTGTACTTTCCCATACATTTGTGTTTGTAAATTCAGCACACTTTAATATGGACGCTTGTTTCCGCCATGGAAAAAATAATAATTAACTGTCTAAAAAGTGAAAATCGAACTGTTTTCCTCACAATTGCAAGACATAAACCTGCAATTGCGATTTATAATGTCAGAATTGCGGGATATAAACTCGCAATTGCGAGAAACAATTGTTTTAGATTTTTTAAAAAATCATATATTTAATATATATATAGTTTATATCGCGCAATTCTGACTATTTTCACACAATTGCAGTTTTATATCTTGCAATTATGACTTTATTTCTCGCAATTATGACTTTTGTCTCTTAGTTGCGAGTTTATGGCTTGCAATTTTGTCTATGTAAACTTATAGTTTTAGTCCAATCCTGAGGGAAAAAGACCGACTTTTTTTCTCATAATGGCGAGTTTAAACAGTATCTAAGATTTAAACTCGCAATTCTGAGAAAAAAAGTGAGTGAGTGAGAGAGAGTGTGAATGAGTGAAGGAATGTGTCTGTGTGTGTGTGTGTGAATGGAATACTAGTGTAGGAGGAATACTGTAGGAGTTCAAGTTATTGTCGTACATTCACATTTTCTGAATAAGTGGGGATCGATACTATATGACCTACAGTCTCTGCTCCTGACTCTCCCTGTTTCTCTCTGTATCCTTCAGATTTCCTCCCACTAACTCATTCTGTCCTGACGGCTTCTCAGTTCTCTCCTCCCACTGAAGTTTGTAATGTATGGAGAAATGGGCTCAATCCAGCCACAGATAAATGCAGAGAAAAGTTGAACTCTTGTTGTGAGAACAAAATAAAGAGCAGCATCCCACTCCCACAGGCCACACTGACTCCACACCATAGACTCCACTTCCTTCCAGAGTTCACGCTCTGTTCAGAGTAAAATCTTCTCTGTTTCTTCAGTCTGTGGCTAAATACTCATTACTATATAATTAGTGTCTGTTAGGAATGCTATACAGTTACAACAGCTTCTCTCAAACTGACAGCAACATAGTGTCGGCCCAGGTCCGGCCCACATCTGGTACATGTGGATTCCACTCGTACCAGATTTGGGCCGGATCTGGGCCGACACTATGTTGCTGTCTGGAAATACAAACACAATTAAAGTTCAGTGCTTAAAATGTTAGTTCACCATTCCTACAAGATGAATAAATGTTTGGTGAGTAAATAATTACACTTTTTTGGGGGTGAACATCCTCTGAGTATCACCAGCACTGTGTGTTCAGCAGCACAGAGAGAGTTTCAAAGAGCTTTTTTCTATTGGATGGAGTATGAACAAGCCCTCTCCTCGATTGTAGCACACTAAGCATCAGTCATGCTTACTCAAGGAAATCCCTGTGCTTGCCTGTTTGAATCGTGGAGTTGCATGGCTGAGGTTTCTGGAGTAAGCACTAAACACTCGACACCTACTGACATTTAATGACACTCAAAGTCATGACTTCACACATTTATAGAGGCAGGAGTTACAACTCTTGTTTTTTTTGCTTTGCAGTACTTTTTTTCACATTTTGTGTCATACAGGATACATTAATGGCCCTCTAATGCTCAATTCAAATCTCTTGTAGACCAACTATCGGCTTAAGGCCACAATCTGGCCAGGCCTATTCTAGCCAAGAACCATCCATTTAGATAAAAAAGATCTGAAATAGCATCCAGAGTTTTGTTTATATGTGTTTTTAAGGGGCATGTTTTGTCCAAGTAATCATTTGAAATAATGAAATGGCTCCATCCAAGGGTTGTAAAGAAAACCATTTTCTTTACAACTTTGTTGTCAGCATTTCTGGCCATCCAAAACACAAATACAGAATATTTTGCAGAAATAAATCAGAAAGCGGAATACAGTTCTGCTCATGGATATCTACTTCAGTTGCTCTAAATCAATGGTTCAACCTTTTGACTACACGGCCCTCGACCATTTAAGACAATATTCACAAATAACAGTTTCTACCTACTAGAATACTTTAGAGCTTGACATAACTAGAATCATTTCATTCTAGAAATTTCCATGTCTGGAAATTACTTATAAAATTCCCTCAGTAAAAAGGTTTCCCAGCACCGTGGAAACCTGCACCTTAAATAAAAATGATAGTTGTAGGAACTTTAAGATTGCCACTTTAAAGGATGGTTGATATTAGACCCATGTTTGTATTGTCTTTCAACTTATCCATTTTGTTGTGCATAACAATATATCCTTTTTTGTATTGTGCCTGTGTATACCCTTTGTTTGTACTGAAGGTTTTATGTCATGGATAAGAAAAAAAAAATCGTCGCGGTAGTTGAAAATGTGAATGCCCACTTTCCTTAGCAGCCCACGCGACTTTGGTAAAGATACCAGGAGACTGGGACAACTCCGTTGAGGCAGAATCGAGACGTTGAAGTATGTGTCCTTGAGGTTGATTTTTGCGAGGGGACGAACGCACATGAGAATGCGATTCTGCGTTAACATCTTGAATGGGAGCTTGTGAAGGGCCCAGTTCAAGACTCGCAGATCTAAGATCAGCCATAACCCACCGCCTTTTTGGGGTACGATGAAGCACCCTCGCCGTGAACCGCACACCACACCGTGGAACCAACCATCCAACCATGAGCGCTTGTGACAAGGTGGATGGTTTTACTCGAGTCTGATGCCCGCGGTGACACGGAAAAGCATGGCCGTCAACTCTGAATCCAATTCAGTGCGAATGACCACCCCAGAAGGGGGAAGCTCAACTTCATCTTCCTCTCCAGAGGACAATAGCCCACACTCAGATGCCGCTATCGACAACTGGTCCTCACCTAGAGAGCCGAATGACACATTGGTTCCCCTCTGAGGACGCGCACCATCATCCGGCAGTTCAACGGCACATTGGAAGAGCGGGAGGTCAGTGGAGACTGGCCCGGTGGAAGAGCTCCCACTGTAACCCTAAGGTCTCCCAGAGTGTTAACCTCCTCGCCCTGTGCTGTGAAGAGGAACCGGGCTGGGTAACAACAGAGGGGACTTCACGAGAAGAGTCGTGACTGCAGTGTCGACATGGTCATTTTCTCGCAATGAGGACATGAACAATCCACGAATGCCATCTCAGCATGCTCACGGCCCGGACATGAGAGACGGCGATCATGGACGTCAGTTGAGGACAGGAATCGACCGCCTCCAGAAACACCCGGACAGAAAGGCATCTTGCTGCCCATTTTGCTCTTTTAGGAAACCGTCTCGGGTTACGACTGTAACCCTTGTTCCCCGAGAAGGGAACGAGACACTGCGTCATCGTTATGGCACTTTGGGGAATGCCCCCAGTGTAGCGCATCTGAAGCATGAATGAAATCTGTCCAATCCTGATTGGTGCTGCGTCATGACGTAGTAGATGACGGCATAACCGGAAGATACAAAGGGACGCTGGCAAATACAAACACTAGCTCTTTTGCGATGAAGCTAGCGCTCTGACTGTGATAGGTGTGGCGACGAGACGCAGTGTCTCGTTCCCTTCTCGGGGAGCAAAGGTTACAGTCGTAACCCGAGACGTTCCCCTTCGAGGGAACTCGAACTGCGTCATCGTTATGACACTTTGGGGAACGAAATACCCACTATGCCACACCGTAATCACGCCCGCCCTAGTGTGAAGCTGGAAGACCAGGCACACTTAGGACGCGAGCACTCTGGCGCCAGGCGTCACAGGGAGTTGCAGACTGTAAAAGCGTATGAAGGTGTGCGGGGTGGCCCACCCGGCCGCCTCGCAGATCTCCTGAAGCGAGACGCCAGAAAGGAGGGCCACAGAGGAGGCCATGCTCCTGGTGGAATGTGCCCTCACGGCCATAGGTGAAGGCAAATTGCGCACCTGATAAGCCGTGGCTATAGCTTGGACAATCCAATTGCTGATTGTCTGTTTAGATGCAGGCAGCCCTTTCTTGGGTGAACCAAAACACACCAACAACTGGTCTGACTTCCTCCACTGAGAAGACTTCTCCAAGTAAACCCTTGGGGCTCTGACTGGGCAGAGCAGGTGAAGTCTCCCCTCTTCCGCCGTCCCATGAGGTGGAGGATGGAAGGCCTGAAGAACCACTGACCGTGCCGCACTAGACGGCACCTTGGGCACATAGCCCGGTCTAGGATGTAAGATGGCCTTAACCCCACCAGGGGCAAACTCCAGGCAAGTTGGCGATATAGCCAAGGCCTGGAGATCCCCCACTCTCCTCAGAGAAGTGATGGCAAGGAGAAAGGCCACCTTGAAGGTCAGGTTCTTTGCCTCAGCCGACTCCAGTGGTTCAAAGGGGGCCTCAGCCAACCCTTCAAGAACCACCGCCAGGTCCCAAGTATGGACTCTGGAGCAAGCCGCAGGCCTAATCCTCCGAGCCCCACGGAGGAAACGTACAACCATATGGTGCCTTCCCAAAGGCCCAGCACCTATAGGTGATTGGAAAGCCGCAATGGCAGCCACATACACCTTAAGTGTGGATGGGGAAAGACCGGCGGAGAAACGATCTTAGAGGAACTCCAGCACTGAAGCCACTGGGCAGTTAACTGGGTCCACCTCACGCTCTCTACACCAAGTGGAAAACACATTCCCCTTTAGGCTGTACAGTCTCCTAGTGGAAGGAGCCCTGGAGCTAAGTAGGGTCTCGACAACACCTGTTGACAGGCCAGCCTCTAGGTACCGAGCCCCCTCAGGGGCCAGACCCAGAGGTTCCACTGCTCTGGCCGGGGGTGAAATATTGTGCCCCCTGCCTGAGACAGCAGATCCCTCCTCAGAGGGACCTGCCACGGGAGGCCGTCTAGCAGTGCTACAATGTCCGAGAACCATATCCGGGTCCCGCTCCAAGACTCCCGGGAGCAGAGCGATCGGGGGAAATGCGTACAGATGCGTACGTCTGTGTCATAGCGTCCAGCCCCAACGGAGCTGGATACCTGAGAGAGAACCACAGTGGACAGTGGGACGTCTCTCGAGACGCGAAAAGATCCACTTCCACTGGGCCGAATCTCACGCACATGGCCTCCACCACCTCAGGGTGGAGTCGCCACTCCCCGGGCCTCAGCCCCGGGCCTCAGCCCCTGCCTCGACAGGACGTCTGCTCCATGATTTTGATCCCCGGGGACATACATCGCTCAGAGAGACGACAGTTTCCCCTGGGACCACAGAAGGATCTGGTGTGCCAGTCTGCATAGAGGGCGCGACCTCAGACCCCCCTGATGATTCAGATACGCGACTACGGACATGTTGTCCGACCGTATCAGGACATGGTGGCCGCAGAGGTCCGGGAAAAAACTCCTCAGAGCTTTGTAGACCGCCAGCATTTCCAGGCAATTGATGTGCCAGGAAGAGTGCCGGGTCTCCCACAGACCTCTCGCAAAGGCGGCCGTCCATGACCGCGCCCCAACCAGTGAGGGAGGCATCTGTTGAAACGGCTTTCCGGCAACATGATGCTCCCAGCACCGGTCCCTGGGACAGGAACCAAGGTTTCCTCCATATGACGAGGGAACGAAGGCATCTGCGCGTTACCCTGATCATACGGAACGGATTTCCCCACGGGGAAAATCCCTTGGCTCTCAACCACCACTGTAGGGGTCTCATGTGTAGCAGGCCAAAAGGTATAACACTGGACGCTGCTGCCATGAGCCCCAGCAGTCTCTGAAACTGCTTCACAGTGAGGTTGTGGCCTAGCTTCACTCTGGAGACCATTGTATGGACTTCACGCGCGCAGGAGACATTTGTGCCCGCATCGTTGTTGAGTCCCATACAACTCCCAGGAACGTAGTCCTCTGGGAGGGCCTCTTATGGGACAAACAACACCAAATAAGACAGACAGTTTGACACAGAGCGCTTTAGCTGAAGAGCAAAAAAGCTAGTGTTTGTATTTGCCAGCGTCCCTTTGTATCTTCCGGTTATGCCGTCATCTACTACGTCATGACGCAGCACCAATCAGGATTGGACAGATTTCATTCATGCTTCAGATGCGCTACGCTGGGGGCATTCCCCAAAGTGCCATAACAATGACGCAGTTCGAATTCCCTCGAAGGGGAACGTTATTTTTCGAAATAACGAAAACGCTGCACTTAACTGCAATACAATGGCGAAACACTGCTGAATGCTCCATATACACCAGCAGGAGGGCTTCTTTCGAGGCAACTGGAAAGAGTGATCGCTCATAAGAGACAACCACTCGGCTCCAAAGCATAAATCGAATGATTGGATGCGTGCCACCATCTTAAATACCAGCATGTACGGGGGAGTGGCTTGGCATGCCGATTACAATCGCAAATTCTATTGGCTGTTTTTCTAAAAACTCAGAGGTGATTGGAGCTCCCAAGTGAGACCCCATTTGTCAGTCGACATAACGTTGTAGTGACTGACAGATAGGGAACATATGTTGTCATGACTTGATTATATTATTTTTTATAGTGTATAGGGCAAAGTATAGGTGCAGTTTGGAGGACAGTGAGGAATGGCAGAGCTGAAATTGTGCATTCATTATTTGAGACTGTGAAAAAGTCAAATAAAATCTACCTTTTTATAGTGGTCTTTGCAAACAAATCTTTTCATGAAATATATGTCATTTCACATGGTTTTACCGTGCACCTCTTGACAAAAGCAAAAGTGAAATGTTTGACTTTTGGTTGCTTCCTCGTCACAAAGTGTTGTCAGTGTGAATGCTCCCTAAGGCCTCTTTCTGCTGTTCTGTTTAATCTTTCTGACATCCTGCTGTTTGAGCACCTGTAGTCAGCGACAGCTCGGTTCAGTAGGGCAAACGCATTGTCTGGACTCAGTCTGGATGCTTCAGTCACTGATAATGTTTCTCTTCTCTGAGATGACTGCACTGACCTAACAAAACAACACAAAATGGTGATGACTGTGAGGAAGACCCTGTGAATTCATACTTTAGTGGCATTTAGTTCATGTCTATTAGCTTTGAAGTTCTCTTTAAAAAAAATTTTTTTGAGAAAAGTCTTCCTTTTCTGGAAAAACTGACTGTAAATATTGATGACATCATCTATCACTCAGGGGTGTATCCAATTTTTTGTCTAATCAAAAGCTACTCTAGAATGAGTATGACCCTCCTTTTAATACCAACTATTGCTGACCAATGTCTAAATGGCTCTGTTAACATTTCTTGTCTCTCACATTCGACTTGCCTAAAAATGTTCTTTTGAAACTTTTTGTCAGCCCAAAATCAAACAGTGGTTCGTAATGAAGTGGTAAATGGACTGCATTTATATAGCGCTTTCACAGACCCAATGGCCACCAAAGCGCTTTACATTGCCTCACATTCACCCATTCACACACCGACAGCGGTGTCAGCCATGCAAGGCGCCATCCAGCTCGTCGGGAGCAGCTGGGGTTAGGTGTCTTGCTCATGGACACCTCGACACTTGGTCAGGTGGAACCAGGGATTGAACCACCAACCTTCTGGTTTGTAGACAACCTACATGAACCACTGAGCCACTGCCGCCCCTGTGTGCAGCAGAGCAGAATCAAGAATATCAAATATTTGGGGGGCTTGTCACCCTCATTGTCAATGAGGGTTACGGCACTGCTTATTTCCGAATCTACTCTACTTTGTCACATATAATGTAAAACATTAACTCATTCTTTTCTTTTGATTGTACAGAATGGGCAAATCCAACAACGCTTAGACACTGTCCAAAGAGATTTCATCGTCTTCAACAGGGAAAAGTAAGAAAACGTGATAACTTTGTAAGAACATGACACCTTTTTTTGTTTGAATTTTAACAATAACATATTCAGTTTCATGCATTAGTTTCCATTGTAAAGCAAGTGTTTTGTTATTTAATCTCAACAGTTGTTCTATATATGTATTCATTATATTGAGATATATGTGCATTAGTAAAGTTACACCTTGATGTTTTTAACCTTGTTTTGAAATGCAAGAGTTTTGAAACACCCAAGGCCAAATGAGGTTTTGCACTTATATTCCAATATATATATATATATTAGTTCCCTTTCAGTAGGTCATGTTCGACGCCACGTTGGACTGACCAACGAAACTACTTCAAGTGTAACTAAACAAGCCAATGCGATATTGGCATGCAAGATTTGCGTCTGCCGCTCCGCCCCGGGTATAAATGGGCAGAAGGTGCATCGCATTTAAGCTTTTCGCTTCGAGCAGTTTTACTGTTTCTGCTCTACAATCTATGTTGAGAGTGTTCTTCGAGCCCCTTGTTCTCTTTGGAAAGAAGCATCTGCAGTTGGTGTTGGTGTGACGATGCTTCAGAGGTGGTCACGGTCTCATAAGGAGCTTAAAAAACAGCTGTTTTCACAGCTCTTTAAAGAGTGAGTGCACACAGCAGGCTGCACTGTCTCTGCTTGTGTTACTGCGGCCATTTCCCCTGCGAGTTTTCAGCACCTGAGAGAACTAATTTCCCTAGAAGAGCTTACATGGGTGTGACACTGCGTCATGTACCCACTGCGGGAAGATGACCATCTCTGTGTTGCAGTCGAGACTCGAGTACCTCAGACGAGGTAAAGTCCCTTCGCCTATCCCTCAATCTAGTTCCTCTTCTGGTGGCCATCAGAAGAGGTCTACTTCGGCGAATAGTGGGGGTGACCTGAGGATTACGGTTAGGGCTTTCCCCACGATGAACCAACCTCCGTGGGCCCCTCACCCCTCTAACACACCACAGCCAGTCGAGCTTCCAGAGGAACACGCTGGACCTTCTAAACGAAGTGTACCAGCCGTATCCTTCGGGGCTCTGCCCGATGAACAGATGACGATTGCTGCATCAGAGGGTGAGTCTGGATTCTCTGGGGATTCGTTGCCACTTTCGGGAACAGTAGCGTTGTCCGAGTCCGAGTCCGACCCAGAGTTGATGGCTATGCTTTCCCGGGCCGCCGAGAGCATTAAGCTCGAGTGGAACCCTCCACCGTGTCCCGAACCCTCGAGGCTGGATGATTTGTTTCTCGGGGTGGCTCAGCTTCCCGCCCCGGTTTCATTTTTCCCGGAGGTGCATGAGGAGCTTACTAGGTCATGGATGGCACCTTTTACTGCCAGAAATCGACCAGGTCCATCAATGATGGAGCGGCCAAGGGTTATGCGGGGATCCCCTGGTGGAGCGGTCAGTTGCGATGCAATTGTGTCCAAGCACCGCTGCCACCGTGTCCCCCCTCCCGGGCCTGTAAGTACTTATCCAATCTAACGGGCAAAGCTAACGGAGCTTGCAGAGAGGCCGCCATGACGCTTCTCCAGGTCTACCAGGCCAAAGCGCTCAAGAAGCTGCACGAGGGTAGTTCCGACCAGGGCGTAATGCAGGAATTGCACGCAGCGACCGACCTCGCCCTATGAGCGACTAAAGTCACTGTGCGCTCCCTGGGTCGGGCGATGTCCACTCTGGTGGTCTAGCGGAGATGCGGGATGCAGACAAAATTCGGTCCCTAAATTACCCTGTCCCCCAGGCCGGCCTCTTCGGCGACGCAGTTGAGAGCTGCGCCCAGCGGCGTCGAACGTAACCGACTGAAAGGGAACGTCTTGGTTACTTATGTAACCCTCGTTCCCTGAGCTGGGCGGCCGGGTCACCGGCTCGGCTCCTCAGCGAAAACCTGATATGCGATGCAACTGCTGCCCGTTTATAATCCACACTGCAGGGCAGAGCGACAGATGCAAATCTCACATGCCAATGTGCATTGGCTCGTTTAGTAGATTGGTCCCTGATTCGTCGGTCAGTCCGACATGGCGTCTCCGTTCCCTCCTTTAGGGAACGAGGGTAACATACGTAACCGAGATGTTTTTATGTTTGTATTTGTATTTTAGTTTAGTTAAAAGTTTTAGTGATTTGTGTTCTTGGTTCTTATTTCTTTTATTCATTTTTAATAATTGTATTAGTTATTTTAGTACATCAAGTTAAACTATATGAAAAGGAGAAATGTTGGCAATGAAATAATAATATATATTCAGTTAACAATTATTTTATTTCAAGTAACAACATTTTAGTTCACTTTAATAACTTTTATGATTAATGTTAACAACTGCACATTTTCAGTTTTAACACTGTGTGAAACCTTATCGAGTCATGGATTTGTTATCCTTTCTTTGTTTCGGAGGTTGTGGAAAACCAAAGCGGACACTGAGACCAACAACCTCAATGCAGAAGAGACAAACAAAGCCATTCAAGACGGACAGAACAACAACGTACAGCATTGTTTATCAAGTTAACATTTGACCGGAGGGACACGCCACAGCTTTCTTATTTCACTCCAAGCTCATGGCAGAGCAGACGCCCCACTGCAGTTCCCATGGAAAACCCCCAGAAAATGCATGAGAAAATCCATGGAATATCATGGGTTCCAGGATGGATTCATCAAGCTAGCGTGCCCCTCATGCTCCGCATTCACGCAAAAACTGACGGCGTACGGTGGTTTACAGTGACTGACTGACGTAAAACTGAATACAACAAAATACCATTTTCAAAAAAAGAACTGAATGATGATGTTCTCTGCACCTGGCCGTGAAAATGTGTGCCTTACTAGTTTAATGGATTTCCCCTAATGCGTTTGGAGGCACATGAAGATTTACTGCTGTCTGATTCAGCGAGTGATCAGACTCGAGCCATTCGCCATGATTTATAAAGCTGCTCTTCTTAACGTACAAATGCAGAGAACAGAACGCGAAAGATATTTATTTCACCTCATTAATGCGTATGTGATTAATTCAATCCATGTAAACGTGAATCTTACAGAGCTGCAAAATACTGTCGTTTATGCCACTGAGAATACTTTTTGGCCTTTCTGGATCTAAAGCTTTTTTTGGAGATTCATTGCTGGATCCCATTGTGCTGCTGAATAAGATATTGACGACACTGAACAGATAAAACTGATAATAAAACAATTTAATAGCATCATCTGACAAGTCTGACTAAGGTTTGCATAGCTTAGGAAAATTCACACAAGGTTGTTTCTGGCTCATTTATGAAACAAGGTTTAGATTTGTAACATAAAAAAAAATCACCAGCACTGTTAAAAAACAACAACAAAAAAAACACCTTTAATGAAAACGTGCTGTTTAAGTTTGGTGGAAACGTACAAAATATTACTCATCTGAAATTTCTCAAGATGAATAAAAATCGCCATCTAGTGGCCAGGTGAATCTACACACAATGTGGAACAACAATGACAATAATTACGAGAAATATTATATTGCTTCCAGTTTAATTTTAGAAACGACCATTTGTTTCGCTTTGTTATTATTAGAATCTAATTTATAGGTCAGGGTGATGTTTTATGCTGTTTCCACTGATTATGTAAATGAAAATGTGGACTTGTGGACTGAGTTTGTATAGAGATTTGCAAATCAAACCTTCAGTTTGAAATAACCCGCTAACTGTGTTTGAGAACTTGATAGCAAACCGAATAGACCCTTTCATGTCTTACCACTTAATCCAGTGAGAAAATGAAATCAAACGATATTGTCACATCATATTTCAGCTTTTTCACTCTAGGTCTGAAGCAATTTTTTGAACACCTCTGTCCCAAAGAAAATGATGAATTTTCCCTCTTTCGCATCTGTACAGTGTCATATTTTCCATGTAATTGTTAATAAAAAACTCAATTTGATTTCCTCACACGATAACCACAGTGTTGTAAATGTTTGTGTGCACGCATGTTTTAGACTAGTTCTTATTTCCTCGAACTGTGAGGTGATGAATATGCCCTCGATGTGACAAATCATATACAGGCAGTCAGTTGTAACTTCTGTTTATTGAGGAACAAATTTTGCACATCACACATTCACTTTGACCTGCTTTTTTTCTCCTTCATTTTTGACCCAGCTGTTAAAAAAACGGGGGGGGGGGGGGAAATACAATCAAACCTACATAAATATAATAAACAACATATTCCACATCAATCACTTTATGCCATTGTTATTTGGGACATGTAACTCATTCCTCAACTAGACCTCTACCAAAGATTTCGATTTTAAAAACTTATTCCAATACGTCTGTGATTTACGAAAAGACATTGTAGCACCGGTTAATCATTTTTCAATTGACGTTTTAAGCTGCAATTGTAGTCGCCTGAATATTCAACAAAACTGAAATGCAAAAGCTGAATATCTTTCCCCTTTCCATCACTCATTTGACATGAAGTCTAGTTAACCTTTCTTTCCCTTTACTGAGATTCAATGTGTCGGGTTGAAGTTCAACTCCTCCTTCATATAACAAAAGCAGTACAGTATGTGCACTGGTGTTTGAGCAAATGCAAATGTTTTGTGATATTCTACACCAGTATATCATTGCATGTTTTTCCTTAACATTCATTCAACTTTATAATACTTAAAAAAAACTGCAAACTCAACACTTCATTTACAAAGTAACATTAACTAGCATAATCACAGCTGATATACGCAAAAGAAAAAAGCTTACGAGGGAATACAGATAAAGCCCTATGAAATACATGACAGTAGTCCTTCCTCTACTGAACGCAAACGCCTGCTGGAAATGCTAACGAGTTTTAATTCTACTTCCTTTTTTAAACATTGCAAACCATCCAAACAAAGTCGGGTTCACTGTAATTCTAATGTCTTCTAGGTCAGTTTCTCTAAACACATCTAAACGAACAGAACGCTACACTAAATGCCCTAATATTTGAACGGGCTTTGCTTTCTTCAGAGGTGGACTACTGATCTTCAGTCGCTCAGCAGGAGTAAATCGTGAAGGGTAAGGCATGAGTTCAGTGTTTTACGTTTCTTTTCCTGACTAATCACCTTACTTCTACATGGTTGATTTTATCCTGGCGGTCCCTCTTACATGCTCTTTATATCTAACTAAGAGAGGTGATGTTGGAGCGGCCACCAGGGGGCACAACGATGCGTCGTCCCGCTGGTCTGATGGGGGCTTCTTCAGGACCTGTGACGGGACACACACACACACACACAGAGAGAGAGAGAGAGGGTTACATGAGGTCACGGGTCGTTCTCTACCACACTTCCCCACACTGATGGCGCTTGTGTTCAAGTTGCAGCGTGGACCAACAGCTGCTCGGTTTGGATTTAAAGTGCCTTCTGTGTGAGCCACGAGACTTTTTTTTATGTGCCATACGTTATTAAATTGGGAATTGATATGCTTATGAATGTAACTCTGGTAGAGTTACTTAGTTTCGGTGGACCTCCTTTACACATTTTAAATACACACACACACAAAAACATTGGACCAACAAAACAAAACAAAAAATTCTCAAATTATATTTATGGTTTGATTCAAATCTTAAATTCTGACCATACTCAATCAATATATTTTCTTTAGACATAAGCCAAAATGTTACTAAAATGTAGGACAATATAATATTTTTGGGGCTTTTTACAACTTAATTTCACCATAAACAAAAGCTAAATTAGCTATAATTAGCTCGTCTCAAAACATTTGATTTTAGAATTGCTTTTAGTTGATTATTCATTTTACCTGTTTTATTTGTGTATTGAAGTGTGTACTTGTTTTTATGTTTGCCTGTAAAGCGCTTTGAGAAAGCAACTTTTAAAGGCGCTACATAAAATAAATGTATTTACTTAAATTTTACTTAAGATAAAACTAAAAACATTTCTTTAGTGTACTTACTAAAATTAGAGAGAACTTTAAAAAGACCTTAAAGTTTATTTGTGATGTCTTTTTTAAATTGCACATGTTCTGAAAAAAATTAAGAATGGATAAAACCCACAATAATTCAGAAAAAAGTTTAATACAATTTAGTTGAAAAAAAAAATTCTAACTATATGGTTTCTTTTTTTTTAATTCAACAGGGAGTGTTATTTAGGGAAGCTTGTTTCTGCCACTGAATATAAAAAAAGGTAATTGCGACTTTTTATCTCACAATTCTGAGTTTATATTTCGCAATCTTGAGAGAAAAAAAGTCAAAATTGTGAGATAAAAAGTCGCAATTATCTGAAAAAACAGGATTAAAAATTACTTTGATTATTTGGCAGACAAAAGTGTTTAAAATATTTTCTAATATTTCAACAAAACTGCAATAAAATAAATTATGTCAAACTACTTTTCTTTTCAAGAGAACGATGATTCCTTCATTATGAGGCAGTTGCTCCACTATGACGTGTTCTACTTTATGCTTTAAAATATGTCAAAAATTAGCTTGAATTCAGAAAGTAAACCATGGTGTATTCCAGTCACTGTACATATGAATTGCATTTTTGTGTGTTTTTGAATAAATGCATAGATAAGTCACTGACTCCTTAACTAGCACATATCATTGCATATATTTAGACTTTGTATGGATTACTGCTGGGTTCTGCGACTGTTTTATCCCACTATAATTCAATAATTATGCCAATTTGATGTTTGCGCCTGCACTGTTGTATGAATACGAGACATCGTTTCCCAGGGTTACCGGATAGCGTGAAGCCGGACTGATGGAGGTTCCTTAGAGGGGCTTTGGTGGGTGAGGACCGGGTGGAGGCGGACGGTGTTCCTCCCCTCGACATGGCTGTAAACTCAGACACGGGGCCGTCATACATGCCCCTGGGGACCGCCTTCAGCGTGGCCATCTGTACGACACACAAAACACTTCAGGTTTACACAGGATTGTGTAGCATATCGTTTAAAGAGAGAGAGAGAGAGAGAGAGAGAGAGAGAGAGAGAGAGAGAGAGAGAGAGAGAGAGAGAGAGAGAGAGAGAGAGAGAGAGAGAGAGAGAGAGAGAGAGAGAGAGAGAGAGAGAGAGAGAGAGACAGTTTGGGTGTTGGCAATTACATCCCATAGAGGCATCTATCCTCATGTGGGCCGTTTTCGGGAATTCACGTAAATTGTAAATTTCATGTTCTCTTGGAAATTGGTTCCAGATTTCGCTGACAGATTGTTGAGAAGGTTAATCATGTTGCATTATTTCTACAATGTAAACAAGATATTTTTGAGATTTGCTGGCTAGTTTGTTTGGGGGGAAAATGCTGGGAGGAGAAAAAAGTAAAGAGTCCAAAAATTTTAATATATATTTTTAAGATCTCACAAGCAAAGCAGTTTTCATTAAAGAGACAGTCCACCCAAAATTAAAATTCATGGATTAAAGTTAATAATTTACTCACCCAAATGAAGATATTTTTTATAAATTTCTTAATGATCAGGCTAAAGTAAACCTCATGCATCAAACAAGCATGAGCATCAATTGACCATATTTGATGAGCTTTATGTGTGTTGATTTAATACATGTATGTGTCGACCGTGTCTCTTCAGAAGACTTGAATTAAACCACTCAATTCATTTTGATTACTTTTACAAGCGGTTTTGGTTGAATGGACTTTCAATGGATGGACAGAAATCCCTCAGATTTCATAAAAAATATCTTGTTTATATATTGTATTTCGAAGATTAGCCAAAGTCTTATAGGTGAGTGAAAGATGACAGAATTTGGTTACACTTTATTTTCGATGGTCCACTTCAGACATTCTACCGACTATCCGTAACTTTGCAACTACATGTCAACTTATTCTACAAACCCGAGCCTACCAATACTCTAACGAGAGTTAGTTAGTAGAACGTCTAAAGTGGACCATCCAAATAAATTGTAACCCAGAATTTTCATTTTTGGGGTAACTATCCCTTTAAGTGTAGCATTTTCATTTTGTACCATGTGATCACTTTGATGTGGCCTCTTTTTTAAACCTTCTGTCTGCTTTTGTCATGATGGTGGAGTGTATTTTTTCAATATTTTGTCTATATTTAATAGACTCAATTTTTAAACCTACGAAAAGACATTAACACCTAGATTTGCCTTTCCAATAGGAAACGATGATAAACTGCAAAAAAAAGTGTAGAAGAAAAAGGGTAATAAAATGAAAAGGAATTTCAGTCCTGTCACACGTGTGTTCAGACCATCAGGACCTGTGCTCTTCCCAGCGTGAGCTCTACCTGTTTCCTGGCTTTGACACGTTTGTAAGCGAAGTCCGGAAACGGGGTGCAGGGAATAAAGCGTCCGGCGCCGGAGGTCGCGTGCAGGTTCCCGTCCTCCAGAACAATCTTCCCCTGGCAGACGACCAGCAGGGGCGCACCTCTCAGCTCCATGCCCTCGAACACATTATACTCCGCTGCCTAGAACAACACAAGAACATCACGGGCATTAAACAACACTTGTGGAACGAAAACGACCACGGAAGAGGACAGTAACAGGGTCGGCCCAGATCCGGCCCACATCTGGCACATGGATTCAACGATGTGGGCCGGATCTATGTTACTGTCTGGGTGGCCGTTTTTTGTTTCATAATGGACATTTGTATACTAAATCACATATTGGCTTTTTATAGGATTAACTGAATTGAAGAAATAATCAACAGATTGAAGTGAAGAGATGAAATCATGTTCAAAAATGAGTCAATTTAAAGGAGCTGTATGTAAGATTGTGGCCAAAACTGGTACTGCAATCACTTTCAAAATTCTGTAGAGGATTTTGAAATTCACTTTCAAAATTCAAAATCCCCTCCCCCTCCTCCCTGACTCGAAGTTGCCAGATAGGCTGCATTTTTCTTATCCGACACGTGTGTAGCTGCAGCTGTGGTAACTAGAGCAGAGCTGGCAACCCGGATGCCGCAACACTACTGACTTCGTGATTGGTCGATAGGTGGAGGGAGGAGCATCAGACAAAAACACAGCATGACAACATCAACATCAGTTGAGGGCTGCAACTTCACTTTTTAAATGACAATATCCTGGCCGGACTACTGTTGTCAGTGATATAAGTATTTGAAATGAACATGATTTCTTAATGTCTAGTGACATATCAGGACCATTTTATGATTCATTGAAATAAATTTCTTACATACAGCTCCTTTAACCCCCTGGGGTCGGCTATCGCGCCGGCGCGATTGTCTCGCTTTTTTTCTTATCAGTGTAAAAGAGACTCAAAATACTCGGTTAATTTTGATCTTACATATAAGTGTTGTACATCATTAGATCCTGTTAAGTTTCTATTTTTTTTGTGGATACTCACAATAAAAACAAAGTGTTGTGCTTTTCACCAAATAAAGAAAAACAAACATGATGCGAGTTCTGCGTTCTCTCTGTCAGTGAAGTCCATTCTGAAACGCGTCCTAAGATTAACTGTAACTCCGCGATTACTTGTCACACAGGCACGAGAGGTTTTTCTTTATGAAGCTTAAATTCTCTTCTTTTAAATGAAGTAATTTATATAAAAAACAAATATTCTCAGTTTATGCAATCTGTATGAAAAGAGAGTGCTGTCAGTATTTTTTTCCCCAGCTCATTACACTTCATTACGCGTTAATCTGACACGCCCACGGAGGACGCGCGCTATTCAAACGCAAATGTCGAGGCAAGCCATGACAATGCCCACATCAGCCGTTCCACCGCGGCGGTAAAATGTGTGGTGTATTTGCTGCCTTTTACCGCTAAGAGGCGCTACAATCATAGACTCTGAAAAGTGTTCGTTTATTCCGGTTTATTCTCTCTAATGCGTAATCTGCTGCCGCACCGCGCTGATTCAGAGCGATTGAAAGCTGGTAGCAGAAGAATTCAACAAGTGAAACGTAGTTAAAATAATTCATAATCACAATACTGATATTAGGCTACTGAAATGTAATTGAATAAATAATGAAAACATTTCAACATAAAACATTGCAATAAAAACATTTAGGCTGAATGAGGCTTTACAACTTTAACAGCATACAGAAGACAGCTCAGTGATCAACGCAACGACACGAGCTTCGAGGAGCTTCATTCGACCCGAGATCGAATCTCAATGTAGCATACATGATGTTAACCGATGTTGTCCTACGTTTATATTTTCCCACCTTGATGCTTAAATAGGTAACTGTTTATATCTGTTTACTTATTTAAAGTCAAGAGTTTTGTTTGATTATCATTACAACATAAATTTGCTACATTCCTCCTGTAGAACCGCAGCCGCTGCACAAACGACAAAAACTGATGAAGGAAGATTGTCAGCCGATTGCATCAGAAAATGAAAATGAAGAAGCTCGTCTTTAGTCTGCTAAATTATTGTGTAATGTAAAAGAACACTAAAATTACTTAAGTTTGAAACCAAGTTCGAACATTTCAAGGTTTAAATTGTTTAATGTAAAACAGGGTTGCATCTTGTTTAGAGTTTATTTCTTTTGCGATGCAAAATAAGAAACACTAGGCTAATCTTATTCTTGCGACATTTTAAATTTGTATTGCCAAAGAAATTACAGCTAAATTAAACAATTAAAACAGTAGGCCTACAAAACGAAAATTGTCCAAAGAAACATAATTAAATTAAAAACATGCGTTACTCTTTGCCTCTCTCGCGCTGGATCTCTTTTTAACAAGTTTATTTAGTCTCCCTCGCTGCGCGCGCGGGTCTCTCTCCCGAAATTAAACATTTTAGGGTAAAAACACATCATACAGCTGATAATACTGTATATGTCGCTGCGTGTCAGCCATACAAATCACGAAAAAATTATTTAACCTTTAATTGTTGCTTCAAAGACACAGCATGCCTTGTTGAATTCACCTTACAATAACTTCAATTGAAATTTTGTGTGAAAAAAACTTTAAATAGGCTACAATAAATAAACTACAATATTTATAATTTAATAAGATATGGGGTCTACATTTGGACACAGATTTATCCTTACAATAATTTTGCCTGCTCATCAGGCTGGCTATCCGACACTCTCCATATGAAAGAGGAACATTAACACCTTTGTCCAGCAATGTCCCTCCAACCCCCCACAGGCTATCGGAGTCTGAGGCTGACTTAACACAAAGAGAAGTCGCAATTCACACTTAAATCGCTATTCTAGACAGTGTTGATAATGAAGGAATTAAATGATTTAAGTTACATGTAGCCTAGTGATATTTCTGTCATAAAAGTTTATTACTAAATATTTCATTATTTCAATAATTGATGAAATAAAACTGGTTTGGGGCAGCTTTTTCCAAGCAAAACTAAATATAATCTGAAAAAACGCATGTTAATTTGTTGTCATGAACAAAATGTTAAACTCAATATTAAATTCTACAGGGATCTTTGGATCCTTACAAGGCATGCAATTTGTGAATTAAGTTTTTATTTTATTTTGTATTATTCAAATAAATATCGAAACACGGTGCTTCGTGGTAATGCTGCTAAATTAAATAACATTTATAGAATAATTATGAACTTAAATGAAACAATATCGCAACATTTCGACAAATACATTATTTGATTTGTTTTTACATTTTAATTCAGGGCGATTTAGCCTACATAGAGCGAGATTTTCACCCTTGTCTTGTCATTTTCTCATTGGGAAGCGCTTACATTGCATGTTTGAGTAGATCCTCTGTAGGCCTATACTGTTTTTGTCGTTAGCCTATATGAATACAAGTTTACAGTTTTGAACGATGTAAGCCTACTCTTATCTATATGACCAAAAAATTACGGGGGGGATTAAAATAATTCAGCAGAAGCAGGGATGTTTAGACCAGAAGGAAATCCTAGTCCCCCCTGGCAAATCACACTTTACTTAAAACCATGTTTTTAAAAACTCTAGGTTGTAGGGAACAGACCTCTCTGCCATGTGCGCGCACGGTTTGGAGCACAATATCTGTCTCGCATGCACGCTCGCTCTAGATAGATTACGGGATATTTTAACTAATTTGCGGTATAACTAGTCGATCACGAGTGGCTCAACAGGTAGATCTATAGGTAAACTATATCTTTTAGGAATTTGACCGACCGGGTTGACACTTCAGCGTGAGAAATCGGGGGTGTGGCGTGAGAGCGTGAGATTTGGGTCAATTGCGTGAGAGTTGGCAGCCCTGAAAAAAAAAATATATATATATATATAGTATATATATAGTATATATATATATATATATATATAGGCTATATATAATTAATTTTTTTACATAACTGCTTTTGAAATTACGATTGGTAGCCTATTATTATACAGATGCAAAGTCGTTCTGTTGGATACTATTTTTTTTCCTCAGTGTAAAATGGAAATGCATGATAATTGTATTTTATAAATATAAGCAAAAAAAACTGTATGGTGTAACAGAGTTTTAGAGCTAGACAAATCTAAATAAATATAAAATATACAGCAGACTTTGTTTGTGCGGGATTTGAACCCGTGTCATCTTGATGATGAACCCTAAGTTCTACCGCTCGGCTATGAATTTACTCACTGAGAAATACCCAAACGTCTGTTTCTCACATGAGTGATTTTTTCATTTAGCCTGTGAGTGTAGGCCTATACTTTAGCCTTTTACAGTTTTAAAAGATTATATCTTATCTGTATGACCAACAATTACGGAGTAGGCTATAAATGTTTGTTGTAGGCTTATTTGGAAATTACCATAACTTGTAGTATTTCATCCTTAGGCTACTGTTAATAGACATTAGCCCCACTTACGTTTTGCTAAATGTCCCTTTGCGCCACCTGGCGGTCGTTTCGCGAACGACTTTGAAATGCGACTGGTTTATTTTGACCGCGGTGGATGGCTAAAAATGGTATGTGGATGGCTAAAAGGTGTGACTAAAAATGTGCTTTTGGCTTTCATTTATATTTTGATTGTTTGTATATATATACACACTACCGTTCAAAAGTTTGGGGTCGGTACGATTTTAAATACTTTTAAAAGAATTCTCTTCTGCTAACCATGGCTGCGCTTATTTGATTAAAAATACAACAAAAATCAGTTATAGTATTAAATATTATTCCAGTGTAAATCAGCTGTTTTCTGTGTGAATATACAGTAAAGTGTAATTTATTCCTGTGATCAAAGCTGAATTTTCAGCATCACCAGTGTCAGGGTCTTCAGTGTCAAATGATCCTTCACAAATCAGTATAATATGAGGATTTGATGCTCAAGAAACATTTATTATTATTATCAATGTTGAAAGTTGTTGGTCTGTGGTCTGTTGGTTCTTTGATTAATAGGGTTAGGGTTAGAATCTTTTGTAACATTATAAATGTCTTTACTGTCACTTTCGATCAAATTAATTATTCCTTGATAAATAAAAGTATTGATTTCTTTCCTCCAAAAAATAAAAATAAAATTCTCACTGACCCCAAACTTTTGAACGGTAGTGTATATATATATATATA